CACTAGACCTAGTGCCCAATCCCTTCCTGGAAAAGACTGGAGATGGAAACTCATGTCTTCCTCTTGAAAACCACAGAGTCAGGGCTACACTGAAAAGATCTGCACTTTTGGAGTTGAGGGACAAGGATGTCTGATCTTATGAGCTAGAAGTGGATGGTTTTCTAGCACTGACCGTCTTTGAAATTTCTAATCAAAAAGCATACTTGGAAGGTGCAGTGACTCAGCAGAGGGATAGATCCGAGGAAACCAAAATGGAAGGGTGCTGAGAGAAGCTGTAAGCAGTTAACCTGAGTACACATCACCAACATAAGAACTAAAGAGCAAGATTCTTTGTGACGAGACCTTCAAAGAACCCTCCATGTCCCCCATGACAGGAAAACACTCAGCATTCAGTATCTGCTGTACTCAGAAAGCATCAGGGCCAGATGACCATGTGATCAGGAAGACTTTTCTTCCCTTTTGCCCTTATTGCCTGTGGGGGACCTTGTGGTGTGCCTCGGCCATCCCCCCTCAGAAAAGAAAGGCTTAATCCCCAGTTTTCAGGGGTGCTGCCCCAAAGAGGCCTTCAGCAGTCAGCTTTCTTTGGGGATTGCCTCAGTGGAAGAAAACTACCTTGCCCAAGGTCACAACTCTTTCCAGGAAAGCAGCCCCTCCAATGACTGATCAACATGGGGTACAAATGAATTCCCAGCTCCTCAATCCAACGCAGGCCAATTGTGGAGGGCCACCCCAGCTCCAGAGCACTCTGAAGGGTCATCTGAAGCCTTTGATGGGGTTGATCAGCTTCTCCCATTGTCCCATCTGTTCTAAAGGCACTGATTCCCAAAGCATTCCTAAACATTAACCTCCATCTCAGAGTCTGCTTCCTGGGGAACCCAACCTGCAACACTCCTTATCCCACTCTGGACCTGGAGGGGCCCCAAGCAGCAGTTAGCAAGTGGTAGGGTACACGGAGCCTCCCTCCCCCACTGCAGTTCCCAGGGCGAGGGAGGACCTTTCAACTAACCGCCTGCAAATTTGGAATTATGTGATTCTTAGACTGAATCTTCTTAAAATTAAAAAATGATAAAAATAAACTGTGAAACATGCCTTAAGTGTCCTCCATGAGCAGGGAGAGGACAGGTCCACAGCCTGGGTTTAATGTAGAAAGTGCACAGCTGCTTTCTGCTCATTTAATGAACTGATTACAGTAGAATACTGCATGTTAAGAACGTGGGGCAGGGGCCGGCCGAGTGGCTCTTTGGTTAAGAGTTGGCTTGGGACACCAGCTCTGAGCAGCAGGGCCCTGGTTCAGATCCCACTTGTGGGCCAGTGACGATTTGCCCTCTACAGCTAAGCTGGTGAACAACAGCTCAACCTGGAGCTGGGCTGCCGCGAGTCACTGGCAGCAGCATAGGCTGCAATGGGGCTGGCCAGCAGCTAGCATGAGCTGCTGTGAGCCGCCGTGAGCGGCTGTCCAATGGCCGGCAAGTGACTGCCTCACCCGGGAAGAGCACAATGATAATACCAACATGGGCCAGTGAAACGACGTCCTCCATAATTAGGCTGAAGAACAAAAGGACAGCAACTTGTCTGTTCCCCTTCCCCTACTGATTCCCCAACGCTGTTCCCCTCCCCCAATTCCCCAATACAATCTTTTAAAAAAAAAGAAAAAAGAAAAAGAACATGAGGCAAGGATCTCTCAGGAAAGGGAGGGTGCGGAAAGTGTCTTCTCAGACTGGGCTCTGTCTCTTCTCACATATGAGGAGTGTGATGGGGCGAATCATAAAGACAGTTCATATAAATCACATACCATCTTATTCCCCCAATAAAATTATAAATGAAAGCAATGATTCTTTGCAACTTCAATTGGCTTATTGCAATCATATCTTTTGCTACACTGTTTAATGATTATTTACATTCAATGTATTAGACCCACTTATCTGCAAACTGGGGTTTTCATCTACATTTGCTAGACAGGTTCTTACCTAGCTGCTGATACCTGCTTTTATTAACTTGTTTCCTATCCTCCCTTCCCATTCCATCCAAGATCCTGGTCTGGAGATGTGTGAGTCCTATTGTCTCTCGTGCATACTAAGGGACCACTTGGGCTCACCTGTTCTCCTGGCACTATGGTCCCATTGCTGAGACTTACAGCATCCCTCATCTATCACAGGTGACACTGTGAGTGCCAATACACGCAGGTCAGGGAGCCTCCTTCTTGGAGAACTCAGAAGTCTTGACTGCTTTTCCCTTTCGTACGTACGTTGGCTGTGAGGGCCTCTGCCAAAACTTTAGGGAGTGTACATACTGAGGGATAACTGGAGAGTTTAGTGAATAGCTTTCAATATTTCAAATTTTTCTGTCAATAAAATTCTAGTCACACAGTCATTTGGAATACTCCAAGTACACTGGTGGTTTATTGTATTGGAATTATAGTTTATAAATCTATAGTAGTAAAATGAGTAAGTATAAATAGTAAAACAAATAAATCTCTAGTAGTTTATAAATCTATAGTAGTAAACCAAATAAATCTATAGTAGTAAAATTCACTAACAGGATTAAAAGGGAGGAAAGTGCATGTACCTGTTACGATGACGTTAAATATAACACATTCCTCCCATATCCATTCCTAATAAGGAGACTGAATCCTACAGAGTTTACATGATCATTTTGAAACTGGGACTACTGCCAACTTATAACCCGATGCCTAGGTGAATATCAGATTCAAAAGGTGCCCTGAGTATGCACCGTATGCCACGGTGATACCTTCGCTGCAGCACATAAATTTGTATCTTTTCTAAAAAAGCCTTCTTAAAATTTTATGTTTAACTCTGTTGAACAACTCTAAGGATGAGCTTCCTGCGTACAACCTACTGTTTTTTTCCAACCACTTGGACCTGCCTTTCCAAACCCAGTTATATACCCCAAACTCTGGGAATGTGTATTTTTCACATGCTGCGTGACATGCTGCCTCATTTGGGATCTATTGATTTAACATTTACTTTCTTGACATTTGATCATTTCTTAACATTTGATCATAATCTCATGCTATTTGTGATTTTGTTAGAATTTGTCTATTTTTAAGATTGCAAATTCATTTACGCCAGGGTTTATGATTTCTCAGAATTTTAAATCTCTGTGGTGCTTATTGAACTCTAAGTACACACTAGAAAGTCAGTACTTGATGGTCAAGTTGAAATTATGAGTTCAATTTAGCAAAGCCCAACTCTGTGTCTTTGCTGAGATCATCTAACTGTGTAGCTCCATTTTCTTTTTAGAATCTTATACCTGTTTGGGTCATTTTCTGCCGCACCTTCCCCTAGCTCGCTTCTCTACCCCAAGTTGTTTCCCCTTCGCCAGCAGTTATATTGTTACAAGATCCATCCGGCTGCTTCCCCAACCAGATCAAGCTTAAATCATTTTTAATCTTGTTTTGTTTATCTTATATGTCTCCATGGCTTAGAACACATCAGTTACAAAAACTGAATGCATTCAGAAAGAATAGGAGTGGCTTGAGCATAATTAGAATAGAAATGTTAAAAGAGGAAAATAGAAGGTATTTAATGTGCCCTGTTTATCCCAGTATATCAACTTAATAGTTTTTATAACTTGAAACCAATCCGTCAGGTTGACATGTAGACAGGCAGCCTTGGTTCATGACAAATTAACTAATTCTTCATCTATTATTTATGCTCTGCCTACATTTAACAAATCCATTAGCAAACACAAAACAAAGGCCAGAAAAATAGCATCATCAAACCAAGGGCAAAGAACTAGAATCACGTAATAAAGAAGGAGAAAAATATCATTGGGCTAGAAAACCTAAGACCAATGAAAGCTGTAGCAACTGAGCATAAAAATTAACTCTGAGCTTTCTTAATTTCACTGTTGGGAGCTGAATGTGTTACATTCTACCTTTAAAAGGTACTGTGTAATGTACAGGAGCTATTAACAGTGAACTTGGACAAGCATGAAAATCGTACACATTGGCCTGTATTTGTTTAAATGATTTACTGCAGAAAATTAAAAATTATTCTAATGGTCAGGAATACCGAAAATCTGTGGAGTCAGTAAATTCCTCTTTTGCACAAGTGAACAAATGGGGAATGTCAGAGGCATCCAAATAGTTTTATGACATTTACTAATTCTACACTATTGGTTTCAACAACAGCAGTGGGTTCCTAAGAGGAACAAAAAGGAAAAGAAAGCCATGACCACTACTGGGGTGGAATAAAAATATAAGACACCACAAAGTCAACATCCATTCTTCATGGGCACCCAAATGCAGTAAATATACATGATTCTCACATCACTTGATTTCAAGTTGGATTTCAGTTTCAAGAATCTAAGGATGAGTGAGAATTATAGTGTTGCTTACATTCTCATCAATTTCGTTTTTTACTATTGAGTTAGAAACACTTTATTCTGGATCTGTGATACATACATAAAAGATAGCCCGAGATAATCATAGTGAAATTTAGACTATCATGGTGATTTTGAAGTATTAATTCACAGTTCAAAGGCTTTGGGCATGAAGGCCAAATGAAGTGACAATTTAAGCAGTTGTCTGATTGACTTCATCCATCCATACTGAGTTAAAATAATTCAGATTTTTTTTTCCAACCAGGAGCTTTTCGTTGTACTAAGTATCCAGTTAATCATTTCAACCATGCCCTTTATTTTCTTTCTCAGTATAGACATCGGCTAATTCTTTGTGACACAGCCAATCAGATGTATTGATATCATGGATCTGTCTAGTGCTCATTGAAAACCCAACTTTGTGATTAAACTATAGCAACTTGACAGATTCAGTTAGGCAAAGCAGTATAAGTCCCCACTGTTGGTTCGCTGTCAACTGAGCTGGCACTGGAGCCAAGGTTTCTAACTTGCAGAAATATCCCAGTGTCACCTGATTTGGTTCTTCTTTTCTGAACAAAATGGGGACCCCCGAGCTAAAAGTACAAATTCACTCTACTAGGGTGTCATCCTGGGGGCTAGTCGACTTTCCCAGTACTTACCAGCTTCTTTCCAGGTCACTGTGGAGCTCTCAGCCCAGCAGAGATGCTCTCAGCCCAGCAGAGATGCTCTCAGCCCCAGCAAGGCCAGACAGGTTGGTGGTGTGTAACGGTGTTGAGAGTTGAGCCACCCCCAGCTTCAGCCATAATGTTGCCTCTTGATAGCTGTGTCTCCTGTGATGTTAGTCTTCCTGGGTCTTTGTTTCCTCATCTGTAACATGGAAATGGTTATGTTTATTCTGCAGGGCTTTTATGAGAAACAAATGATATAATGCCTGTGATGATGGACCAACAGTGACTAGAACACCTACAGTCGGCACTCAAAAAAAATGAGAGCTATTATTCTAAAATAAATTTGTACAAAGATAAATTCACTTTGTTAGCGATTTAACATAACATTTTTAAAAATCCACATTGTTATTTTATAACTAATCAATGATAACTACGTGGCTAAAGAAAATATAGAGAAGAAAAGACCCTTCTCAGATAGTAATGTACTATATTAAGGTTTATATGTTCTTTCGGGAAATATGTTAAATCTAGGACTACTTTAATTTTGTTCTAACGGTGTTACTTTATTCAAATTTTCTCCAGAAATAATCTCATAATTAACATATGTATTTCAAAAAGTAATGCTGACTAATACTCCTTCATATTTATGCAAAGGAGTTGAAAGCTTATGTCCAAACAAAAACAGGCACATGATGTTTATAGCATCTTTATTCATCATTATCCAAATTGGAAAGCAACCAAGATGACCTTCAGTAAGTGAATGGATAAATAAACTGTGGTACATCAAACAATAGAACATTATGCTGTGCTGCAGAGAAAGCTCTATACTTTCCTCTAAATTTTGCCGTGAACCTAAAAATGCTCCAAAAATTAAAGTCTTAAAAAAAAAGTAATCTTGCGGTAAGCTGCTGGACTTACTTCTTGATAACAAAGAATGCAGCAATTTCTTGAGGCAGTGTTTTATTATGGCCTCACATAGCGTAAGAGTAATTAAGGAGGAAATAAGGCAAACTACCAAGGAAGGTCTCATAATTAAAATGTTTTATTCATCAGTAATAAACCTTTGGTAAAACCTGGTCATACTCAGTAAAAATACACAAGAAAAATAAAACATGTAAGTTCTAAGATGTATTCATTTGAGACTTTTTTATCTGACATGGTAAAAAAAAAATTCTTTATTTGGAGTCAGTGAGCCTGGCTTATAGACCAGCTTCTGTAATTATTAGACACATGGCTTTGAACACGTCATTTAATCTCCATGAGCTTCGGTTTCCTCCTTTCAAAAAATGGAGATAGTAGCAACTAGCAAGACTACTTTTAGATAATTTTCCCTTTAAGTAAGTGTGATAAAGGGTATGAAAACATGTTACAAATGTAAATATTATGAAAGTGGCCATTATTGTTATGGAAGGTTTAATAAAATACTCTCAGTTACTTCTTGATGTTTTCAGTCTCAGGTTTTATACCCATGCAGATTAAGTACGAAACAAAAATGTATGCTTTTCCTAATTTTTTTTATTATAACAAACCTTATATATGGTTAATTATAATGCTCAGTTCAGTAGTCAGTATACGCCTTTCAAAAAATGAGATGGTAGCAACTAATACAGAGATTTCCCTATAAAGGTATAGTTTTAAAAAAATCTGTCCAGTATGAAAACCTGACTTGATATGGCCACCATCTGTTTAAATTCTCCTACAGTGGGATACTTGTTATTACTCTGAATTGGATATCTGTCACTTGTCAAGGTTTGGCTATATCACATAGCCTACAGTATAATCTTACAAAGCAAAAATCAGAAGTATCCTTTGCAGAAAGGCAGTCAGGGCTTTTTAACATCAATATTACAAAAGGCATATAATTGTTTGTAGTCATTTAAATTGTGCATTTGTACTTGAAAAAAACAAAATCAGTGAAGGCTAAATTGTAATAGCAAAAAATGGGAGACAAGACAATGGAATATGAAATGTTAGAAGCCTTTTAATCCTGGTGCAAATCCTTGCTTTGAAGTGTAATTTTTGCTGGAGCCTCAGATCCTTCACCTGGAAAATAGGGTTAATAACCTTTATCTTGTAAAATAACTGTGAAACTTAGAGCTAACCCACCAGCAGGGGTCCATATTCTAGAAACCATTCAGCTCTTAAGAAAACCAATCTAGAATAACCAAAAACTGTGTGTGCATTATTCATATTTAGCTGCTTCACCCCTAAATTGACTGCTGGTAGAATTTTATTTCACTGCTGTTATTACAATGCCATCGCCTACTATGGAGACTTTAAAAAGAGGAGACACAAACGCTTGCACTCACAAAACTTCAAATTTCTACGCGGAATTTCTTTCTTTGAAACCATCATCCATCCACGTTGGACAGATTAGTTTACCCTCCAGGATGGCTCCCCTTAACATCTCCAGCTTTCAAACACTTCCCCAAGCTTTTAAATGGGCCTGAGAAATCCTTAACATTATTTAGCGTTTCGTTCAAACCAAAAAAAATGTTTTGAGATGCTGACTCAAGATAGCGAAAGATGAAGGGATTTAAGATTTAATTATTAACCTGCTAACTCATTTCTAAACAATCATCATGCCTGGCTGTTTTTAAGACTGGGCCTGGGAGGCAAAGCAGGTGTAACCCCCCCCAGGGAAGTACCTGGCCCAGGGGCCCAAGGACAGAGAAGGAAAACTAACTGCACAGCCCTGGGCCACCTACACCTAGGAGCAGAGCGGAGGCAGAGCATTTGCAGAGAGGGCCCTGGAGTCGCGTGCCCAGCATCCGGTGGGGTGGGGCCGCTGGGAGCTTTGTTCAAAGTGGACACCGGGCTGAGGAGCAGGCGCTCGGGCAAAGCAGGGCGACAGCAACTGCATCGCTACCCCCTCACGAGAAAGTAGCGTGCAAGGCTACAGAGAACACACGTCCTTGTGGCCATTTTCTGGGGGTTGCTAGGCACCCTATGTTCTAAGCTCCGGGGTGGGGGGGTGGTGGAGTTACAGAACTTTCAGAATAAGGGGACTTAAAGCCAAGGGGAGCCCGGGCTGGGTGCAGGGGCGCTGCAAGCTGCGAGCGGGGAAAGGGCGGAGGTGGCTCCCGAGCGTCTCTCCGGATCCAGCCCTGCGCTCAGCTGTAGCGCGGAGGAGACGCGGAGATCGCGCTCGCTTCCCCGGGGGGCTGCTCGCCTCCAAGTGACGATGCGGGAGGGAGAGGTGTAGCCGCTGGAGGACCCGAGGGTCTGCAGCCGGAGCCGGCCACCCGGCCAGGGCGAGGCGGGAGGGGCGGCGGCGGCTCCTCACTGCACCAACCTGCGGGCTCCCGCGGGCTCGGCGGGCGCGGCCCCTCCCACCCGCACCGCCGCCTCCCCGCGCTCCCGCCCGGCCCGGCCCCGGGTCCCAGTCGGTGCCGCACGGAACCGGCGCGCGGAGCGCCCGCTCGGGACCGCGGCCACGCCGCCGGTATCGGCACCTCG